CTCTCTAGACTTATTAATCATGTCTTGCCCTATGGGCACAATCTCTCCTATTATCTGAGAAATTATTTCTGATTTCATTTTTCCCAGATCCTCTTTTGTTGCCAGTTCAGGGAGTCCAGGTGATTAAGTATCGGAGTGTTCCATCTCGTTTCCCTTTGGAGTTGGTTTAGGTTATCTGGGAGTCTGTTTTTGAGACTTGTTTAAGTGTCTTCTCATTTAACGAGGGTGGGAGTGGGGAGGGATGTGTGCTTCTGGCACCCACGTGGCTCACCTTCTCAGTGCTGGGGGTGGTGGTATGGCAGCCTGGAAAGTTCACCTCCTCTGCACTTGGGGCAGCTCTGCTCCTCGGCGCTGGGGACAGTGGTATGGCAGCCCAGGTTTGTATGTTACTCTTTTTTTTTAAAGTTATTTTAAATTCTTTGAGTAAAGAATAAGATCTTGAAGTCTGCTTTCTGGAGTCTCCTGCACCTGGCTTTGAGTCTATTTCCATCATTATCTGTGACCTTGAGAAAAATCACTTTAATCCTGAGTCTAACTTTTCTTTCTATGAAATGAGAGTCTTGTTCTAACCTTACAAGGTCATTGTGAGGATGAGAGAAGATAACATATGGCATGTAAAAAGGGTTCAGAACCTGGCTTTCAAGTTCAATATCCATGTCTCTGGAGACTCTCTAATTATCTTTAAATGGGCATTCATATAATTGCAAAACAAATGTATGCAAATGTGAATAACTAGAACATTACATCAATATATAAATCACCAAGGTGAGTTTATGTAAGTCACCCTCAGAAATACTGCTCCAGGTTTCCCTCTATGCCAAATTCAACAAATATATTGATATTGTTAAAATTAGATCACCTTGTAATATGACTTGTGGCTTTTTAAAAATTTAACAATAGGCCTTGAATGTATTTGCATGCTATTCTTTTTAATGGCTTTAATGTTTTCTATTATGAATATGTGCTATAATTGGTTTACCAAATCCTTCCTGATGAATAGTTGAATTGTTTCTAATTTTTCACTACTGCAAATAATGCTGCTGCACTTTAAAAAATAACAGAGACATTGAAAAGAGGCAGCTCCTTTGATAAGCTCACTGAAATTATCTACAATTTTTGGAATGCAGAAATTCCTGTAATAACCTTTATCCAACTATCCCTGTACCTGTTAATGGATAGTTGGTTATCACATAAATGAAGCCAAGTTATAGTTGATGTGAGTTTTTGTTTTATTTTGGTGGTGTGTGTGTTAGGCACTGAACCTCACAGATGCTAAGCATACAGTCTACCACTGAGCTCTAGCCCCCAATTTGTGTTTATTTCTTAGTTTATTTAGGTGCTGGAGAACAAACTCAGGGTCTTGTGCCTGCTGGCAAGTGCTGTGTCTTCATATGCGTATGTGTTAAGAGTCCAGAAGATTTTGGAAATAACCCTGGGATTGTTCCATTCACTTTACTGGATTTTACTCACAAGCCTCTAAACCTCCTGAATCTCACCAGACTGCTTTACACTTAGTTCAAATTTTTAGACTTACTAAGGTTTAAAGTATCAAGGAATTCATAGGATCACCTCATACTTGATCAAATTTACTTGTTTTGATAACTGAATCAACCAGACATAAGCATATTTTGCCTTGTGTCCAGTCAACAGTGCTGGTGGGTCAAAATGTAGCCACTGACATTCTTCTAAAATAGGAATAAACTATGAAATGGGATTGGCATCAAGCTATGAATGAGTAAAAAGTGTGACTTTATGGGAGTGAGATGTAATTGCATAATACCAACCAGAAAATGCTCACTTCTATTATTTTATATGATTAGTAAATACTTAGCATAAAGGAACCCACTTGTATTTCTTGGTTTAGCAAATCCATATTTAGAACCCTTAATTTTTCAATCCCCTAAAAAATTAACATTCACTATGGACATTTCAACATTAGCAAAATAATGTTGACATTACTCAAACAGGTCTGAATCTTTCTGAATTTTCAAAGCCCAAATACATTAACACTGGTGACATTACTGTAAGTCAGCAATTAATAGTTCTAAAATTGAATAGTCTCTCACCAAGCCCATTAATCAGAAATATCTCCTCTTTACGCTCTGTAAGATTCAGCTTTAGCTAAGGTCTCTATAAAGATTAACCAAACAATGTGTACAGAATATGCATCAGGCATTGTACAAATCATTTCATACAATATCAATCAGCTGTGGACCGAGGATAACATAAACTTTGTCATCTGATAATCAAGTAAATAATGATGTGCAGAACTAAACAATAAAGGAAATTATTATTACCACTATTCTGTTTAAAGTTAAGGAAATATTTTTGAACTCTTAATAGTTCAATTTCTAACTTAGATATCTAGATATTTTCTTTGTTTTGTTTTTTGTGGTGCTGGGGATTGAACCCATGACCTTTTACATGATAGGCATACTCTAACACTAAGCTATATCTCCAGCACTTTAAGTGTCTATTTTAAATCCCTGTTAGCAAAAATTCATAGAAGTATATAGCACACACTTAAAGCTTCCATGTAAAATTTGTCAGTTTTATTTTTAGTTAAGTCTTTTCACCATGCCTCATTAACAAGTTAATATTATATTTCACTGAATGGATGGGGCTGGTGAAGGGAGGTTGCATAAAATTTTTAAATTATAGGCAAAGTTGTAATATTATACATACACATACATATTCATTTTTCCTTGGAGAAAGTTTATGGAGTTCACTAGATTTTTCAAAACAGGTCATGGTCAAGATCTTTCTGAGTTTTGCCTCTTTGTGTAATTTCTTACTTGGCAGAAGACTAGAACGTAGAGGAAAACAAACAAAAATCTGAATTGATGAAGAGGGAGAGAATCTATCCTCTCTTGTTTTCTTTTATGAATCCAGGAAGACTCCAGTTTCAATAATCAGTGGTCTGAGATTTTGTGTGTCCCTCATAGAAACCGTAGAGGACCAGATACGTGCCCACCTGGAGAGAGCCAGAGTGATAGAGTCTACTCAGCTCTGCCTTGCAGTTCTGCCCTCTTGCTTTGGCCCATACCTTTTGCTGCTGCCAGACCACTGCCCACAGACACTAAAACAGGCATAACTAATGCAGGCCATGATGCTTTACAACTAATGAGACTAAATCATTGAGACCGCAGCTTTTCTGAAAACCTGGGAGCTGGATTTAGTGCAAAATCAACTGATACCTTAGCAGCAATCCACATGTGAAAGCTAAAGGTCTAAAGAACTAATGTTGCAAAGAACTTGGAATCAGCACAAAACACACCTTCTTGTTTGGGAGATTAGATGTCCATCTTACCAAGAAGGATGGATGTTCCAAGTGTTGTGACTTCTTTACAACTTGTGTGTGACTGTAGTGCTATATATGCCACTAAGCTGCCATGGTTTCCATTTTAGCAATGTCAAGCTACCTCTTCATCATTAAATATGAACTACCTGAAGTAATCAGAGCATTCATGGGACTTGAAGAAAATTCTGGGTATGTCTTCTGATTTCTTTTTGACATCAAGTGACTCATTCTGCTTGATCTTTTCTGGTCCTAACATCCTAATCTTTTTTTCTCTCCTAGGGAATGGTACCTCAATGGCAACTACCTCATCATATTTGTGTCTTTGGGAATTATTCTTCCACTTTCTCTTCTTAAAAATTTAGGTATAGTCATTCTCTAAGTGAAAATATTTTTATTCATATTTTAATAGGTAAGCTGTTTGTAAATGTCATATGCACCTTTCAAAATATTTCTGCTAACTCCTAGGTTACCTTGGATATACCAGTGGATTTTCTCTTACCTGTATGGTGTTTTTTGTCAGTGTGGTAAGTGATTTGTTGACATGATTCTTGTAGCTTGGTGAGGATGAGATGCTTTTAGTGCCTCAGTTACTATTCTTGGATCATAAGCAACTTTATTGTGTTTTAATTTGGAATGAGAAAAGAGCAGTCATGAGTTTAAAAATAGTTGAGTTAGGATGTCAAGGCCATTGCTAAGGGTATGTTCCATGAGCACTGGGTAAACATTTAGATACAGGGCCATGACAACAATCCAGTATTTAGAGAGGTAAAGGAAGAAATGAAGAGGTATAGAAGAGACACCAGTAGACTACACCCATGCTCACATGAATCAGCCATTTTCTCTTCCACATTTGGCTCAATAAGAGAGGACAACCACTGTGGAATTAAAGAAATTCCACCACTACCAAAAGAAAGAAGATTCTCAGAATATCATGGATGCCAAATTTATAAAGCATGTCCCTGAAGAAGCAGAGGAGGAGGGAAAATTTGATAACTCATGGAATCATTAGCTTGAAGAAATAAAAGATATGAAATGCAATAAGGAAATGACCATCATCTTTGTCTCAGAAGGGCATGAAAGGTTTGCAATGAATTCATATAAAATTTGGTTCTACTAACTTCTACCCAGTTCTATGAGTAGTGCTGCCAACCATAGTTCCAACTTTTTTCTTAGAACACAGGCTAGAGAGAATCTCCATGGCCCATTAGTTTAAAAATAATCTTTGGTTGAGTTCTCTGTCTCCTACCTCATAAGCCACATGTATGGATTTTTTATTTATTATTTTTCCTCAAACCCTGACCATTTTTCTTAAATGTCTGGGTCCAGGTGATTTACAAGAAATTTCAAATACCTTGCCCTCTGCCTATTGTGGATCACAATGTTGGAAATCTGACAGTCAACAACACACTTTCAGTGCATGTGATAACACTGCCCAACAACTCCGATAGTACTGGTGTGAACTTCATGATGGATTATACCCACCAAAATCCCATAGGGCTGGATGAAAACCAGGCCAAGGGCTCCCTTCATGGCAGTGGAGTAGAGTTTGAAGCCCATAATGATGACAAGTGTCAACCAAAATACTTTGTATTCAACTCCCGGGTAAGTTAGACACCTGGGTTTCTCATGAGCTCAGTAACGTGGCCTCTGGATCTTTATTTCATAAACTGAGATGGCCTAAGATTGTCGTCTGTGTTGGAATGTTAAACATGTGGTGTTGTCTTTGTTTTACAGACGGCCTATGCAATTCCTATCCTAGCATTTGCTTTTGTATGCCACCCTGAGGTCCTTCCCATCTACAGTGAACTTAAAGAGTAAGGCACCCATTATTTTAGCATCCTAATTTGCTTTGAAAATATCCTCATATGTTCAAAGGTGCTTTACAAGAAGAACGGTTTATAGCTTTCTCTTCAGAGAAAGTTTGTATTACTACCATTTGGCAGTAATATACTTTAACCAGCAAGGTATGACTCAGCGCATACACTGGATTACCATATGTGCTTCCTGTCTCTACTCCCTCTGCCATAATGGTCAGGGGAGGGGGTCAGGGTAGGTGGAAGAGGAGCCAATGGGTGTAACAATTTTGACAAGTATAATGAATTTGAATATGAATTTATTGGGTAGAATCAATATCACCTGGATTGGAAAGGACAGTACCCTGGAAGACCAACACTTATGATGAGGGTGGCCTTACTAAGCCATTGAGGACACACGTGGTCAGTTTCTAACCTTCGTCTAAAAGGCATTCAACCATAAGAGATGTGTCAACATCTGGTCTTCATTGTCTTATCTGTACAATGGAGTTGGGTAGCAGATCTTGTTTCTTCTAATTGGTGGTCTGTGATTCATTCATATTCTTTTTCTGTTGACGTTGTTGACATCTCTGTGTGGACAAGGTAGATAGGAGCCCACTATAGTTGTTTTCCTCAAATTAGGTCCCCATATAACAATTCTCAGGGCCTTTGACCCAGATATTAGCAATACCTTTCCCCATAAATTCTAATTTACCCATAAAAAATTTTGGAACACTTTCAATGATTTTAATATCTTTGATTTACTTTGAAAATCACAGGCAGCATGTACTGCAGAAGCCTGTTCATTGACCGTTGAGTGGGTACCCTTTAGAGTGGTTTCCAGAATTTGTCCAAGTAAAAATCTCAAGCTTCCTAGTGGCCTGAACCCTTAGCAATAATGCTTTACTGGTTCCAGTAGGTTTTTTTTCTTATTAAGCTTTTTACATTAAGAACCACTTTGATCCTTATGTCAATTACATTAATTATTCAGTAGGCAAGCTTGTTTACTGACATGAAGTAGACCATTCCTTTTCTAGGGAAACAATTGTTTCCAAGATTGAATGAGTTCAATGTTTACGATAAATGGAAATAAACCCTCCTTAGCTCTTTAGGACAAACTTAAATCAAATATAAGTTTATGTACTAGAAATGTAATTTCATAATTAGCATTAGACACACATTCTTTCAATGTTTTTCATCTAAAAAGTGATACTTTCATATATTTAAAAAATTAAAATCAATGTTCTTTTTATTTTCAGTCGGTCCAGGAAAAAGATGCAAATGGTGTCAAATATTTCCATCACTGGAATGCTTGTCATGTACCTACTTGCTGCCCTCTTTGGTTACCTGACATTCTATGGTAGGTCACTCTGTCAAAGTCATTCATTCTGTATGGATCCTGGTAAGCCTGTTAACTCAGGTATAATTCTTTCACTTACCCTCTGTAAGCAGCATGATCTGTAGATGACACATCCCCAATTAACATGTTATCTTAGCTTTGTCAGTTGACCTAGGAAATGGACACTGAGCCCATCTGGCTAACAAGTTCCTGTGAATTCACATGTACTTTACTTTAAAAATCTCTCAAATTAAGTTATTTTCCTTCAGGAATAGATGCTATTTCTTTAGCTAGACTGTCTAGTCCATTTCGGGCTAGAAGCAATGAGGAAGAATCCAGCTGCATTTGGTAAAGCACTTTTGATGAAATAACCAACTGCCAGGAAGTGTCAGAAAATTAACAGTATTCTTGAGTTTGAACTTGAGTCATTTTTTATATTTTTTGTTTGGTTTTCATTTGCTTTTTGAGACAAGGTCATGCTGTGTAGTTCAGGCTGGTCTTAAATTCACTGTGTAGTCCAGGCTGGCCTAGAACTTGTGGTGGCGATTCTCCTGCCACAGCCTGCCAAGTGCCAGGATTATAGGTGTATGCCACCACCCACTGAGGAACTTGCTCAAGTCCATTCTGGCAGCTTGGAACATTAGATAAAATTTCAGGCTTATCTTACTCTATTCTGTTATAGGGAAGGGTTTTCTAAGAGAAGGATATAACAGAATTTCCTTTGATCTGGGATTATGCTACAAAAACAAAGAAACAACAACCAAAAAAAGAAAAAACTGATTGTGGCCACATCTGATTATGTATTAAACATATTAAACATTTTCTCTTTGAAATCTTCATAGTACCCAAAAAGAGTATCATTGTTGTTTCTTCCATAAAATGTGGCCCTATAGATAAATGTCATGGAATCAAATATAACCCTGGTAGCATAGGTTCACACTAGTCAATGTATCAATATAAATATATTTTTGTGTAAGTTTCTGTAACTTTCTGGATTTTTTGACTGACTTGATAAATTAAATTGACTGTATGATGAGTTGGGGAAGAATCAACATTGTGGCAGGCCATCATTTGCATAGGTTTGTTTTCTATTTGACTAATATTTGACTTTTAACCAAGCACGTACTTTATATTGAACATTAACTTACTGCTGATTGTGATTAATGAAAGTCGAGGTCAATAACATGAAAAGTATTTTTATCCCTTTTTGTCTGACCTTGAGAAGATCAGTGGGAACATCAAACTACATCAAATTCCATAAATATCTCCTTGACATTTGTATCTCAGATTCTGAATGAATGTGTTTTCTAGGAGGGTTTAGTATTTGAGCAATATTCTTTGGGAGATTCTGTAAAAATCATACTACTCATCCTTGCATGTTACTTAAAGAGTTCCATAAGACAAACAAATCTTGAAAAAGCCCAAGAGTATGTGTTTCCATGTTGTAATGGAGTTATAATTGTTAATCTTTAAAATGTTAGAGGTAATTAGTCCTAGAGTTTCCATAATGGGATTGGAGAAGTTGTATTAAGGGTGGCTGGACAGATGGGGCCAGAGGAGCGTGGGGGGATGGGGAGAGGGTGGGGCTTGGATACTTCATCCCCTTCAAAAGGAGCATCTTAGTCTGACTGCTCAAGCTTTCTTAAAACAGAGATCGATTTATTATAATACAGGTGCTCTCAGGAAGTACTTCAGCAGTTTTCTGTTAGCTCCTGCAACTTTGTTCATTTGAAAAAAGTTCACATAGCTGATAGTTCAGAGACAAGAATAAAAAGTGTCTGGATTCCCAGACCTGAGTCTCCCACTGTCCTGTGCTCTCTCCATAAAATGCTGTAAGTAACCAGTGCTGAAGTAACACCAGGTGGATGGATTCACTCTCCTTTTCCCCCTTGTAGGAGAAGCTGAAGATGAATTACTTCACGCTTACAGCAGAGTGTATACCTTTGATGCCCCTCTTCTCATGGTCCGCCTGGCAGTCCTGGTGGCAGTAACATTAACTGTGCCCATTGTTCTGTTCCCAGTAAGTAATATAAATCTCTGGTGATAGAAACCTGATTAGTACTATGTCTGACTTGATGTAGTTTTAATTATAATGAAAATTTGCACTTGCAACACCGAAGACATTATTACTCTCATAGCATTTTGGACCCACTTAAAACTAACCATTCAATATGTTGATATAGTAAATATTTGTAGGTGAAATTTTTAAAATGCAGGGGAAAAGTCATAATATTTATTTCTAAATTCAAATTCAGAAAGCAGAGCTTGAACTGCTATCCTGTAGACTAGGAAAAATGAGTAGGAGTTCATATAACTTTTGAAATGTGAAAGCCAAAACCACTTTAACTCTCAGATCACATTGCATCTTCACCACAATTTGGAAGATATTTCAATTTTTTCCAGTTTGTTGTATGGCAGTAACATCCAAACTTACCTTATTTTATCTGGTCTTGAAGGTTACAGAGGAGATTCACATTAAGTAAATTACATACTAGAATAAATTTTCTCAAAAAATAGTTATGTTATCCATCATGTATCTCTTCCCTCAACTGCACCCAAAGTGACACATGCCTTCTGGAAGACACAGGCTAGGAGCACCCCTCCTTGGCATTTGCCGTGGGTGCCATTTTGCCCTGCAATCATGGAACCGGGCTGGCTGCAGAGACTTGGGCCTCATGAGTTAAACCACCTCCTATGGATAAACACAGGTCTTTACCCGCCTGCCAACTCTTCTCTTTTCTTAAGTACTCAATTTGCTCATTCATTTTAGGAGCAAAAAAAAATAAGCAGTAAATTTTACTGTCGTGTGGAGAATGTTCCCAGCAGGGCCCAGGGTATGAAGACTGCTTATATCATGACACTGTGGTTGCTTTAAATGTAACTTGTGTGCTGAAATATATTTTGGTACATTCCTTTCCCATGAGCACGTGAAATCAGATCCTTATTATTATCATGGCTAATAATTTACTCAAATAATATCTTCCCTCTAATGTATCTGAAAGTATTTCAAATGACATATGTGCAGCCTTAGTCTAAAATCAGCTCCAGCTTGGGTACAAAGCAGAAGACAGCTGTAACCCAGACAGTGTACTATAGGATAAAATTTCCAAGCAAGCTGTTTCACTGAGAAAAGAATATCCAGACTTCTTCTCAATGTGGATCAAGGTATCACCAACTAAGCTTTGGCACATTGAAGTACTACGTCACTGTGGAATCAAAGCATTTTGTGAAAGAAATCTGTTACATGCTTTTGTGTTACTTTACTCATAAGTTCTAAATATAGTGTTTTTAAGCCATGGTCTCAAGAGATCAATGGCCATGGCCATGGTCACACAGCTAGTAGGCAGCCGTTGGACGAATTCAATGCTCAGTGCATTATAAAATGGATGTCTGCCATCGTTGGAATGGGAAATAAAAGCCAGTCTTTTCTTTATCAATGAATATTTCACCTTAACATCAAAAATCCCAAACTCCTCTTAGAAAGGAGAGAGAAGGCACTGGAAGGAATCTGATGATCAGGAATAGCAATCATTTGTAAACATTAGATCATTAAGCCGAACATCAGAAAAGTAACTAACGGCTCTCCTTCTCTGTGTATTTCTACTCAGTGTGAGCATGCATGAAACATTCTGCACACAGCACTGTCTGCACTCGCCCTTATGATGGTACAGTGAAATGATCGGCATTAAGGGACCCTTCCAGGGGCTTACAGGTCACTGGAGATGGGGCTGTGCAGTGACAGGCACATAGGATGATCTCAGTAATGTTTGCTAAGGAAGATGGTCTTTAAACAGATTTGCCTTTTCTCGAAATGTATAAACTGCTTATTTCTAGCCAATGCACAGGCTATTTTTCTTGCCGATTGTGCCACGAATTCAATGTGGATGAGGATCTGGGCTAAGAGAATCAAATCTTCATGGATGTGATGGAGACAGATAAGTGGATAACCTTTGTCCCAGTCAAATCCTACAAGGCTAAATTCAAACACTTTTTTTTGCCAAAGGGATAGGTGATGATGTTAGCATTATTTTTGTTTGTTTGTTCCTTATAATGGAGAGGCAAGATTTGCAGTATGTCAAATGCTGAACCACAGCATGGTTTTCCAGACAGGGTTCTTAATATTCAGAAATAGTTGACAGCTAAGAAGTTTATTTACTTGCCTTGATATCCTCATATAGAAATTTTAAAAGCCCTAAATAGACCTAGTCTGGATTCAAATCTATACATTTTACCTATTATTTTGTGTTTCCCTTTTTTAAGCAAATACTAACTAGGCTAAGAGCCCAAGAAGATAGGATAAAGGTTTGTTTGCTTGTTTTTTTTAAAACTCTACTATTATTTTTCTTTTCTCTGGTTAGTTTAGTTTTTTTTATTTTTCCTCTTTAGTACAAGACACATAATAACTGTAATGTTTGTGGAATAAATCCATAGCTGAAGGGAATGAAGGCAAGGCCTTTTACTGACAGTCCCACTTCCATCTCCTGGGTATTGGGACTGAAGCTTACCCAGATACAGGTGTAGAAACATGCCCAATGTTGCCATGAATGGCTGTACAGTGGCATTTTCAGCACATTTTCCCTACAGCAATTCCAAAAAGTGAAGGTATGAGCCACTTTAAGGGGCTGAATAATTTGTTTACAGTTCAAGTTGAGGCACTCACTGCATACTCCATCTTCCTCTCCACATTCCTGACCTTGACCTTGGGTCTGGACATCAGAACACAGCACCTCCTAACAGGTTGTGTTCAGGCCATGCTCTCTGGAAGCAGCTCTTTTCTCTAGAACCTTTCTGGGTCAGAGGTTGTCACTGAGGCTGTCACTGGGGACTTCCCTGCCCCACATTTCCACATTCTTACCAGTTGATGTCAGTAGAGGTATGGACTTGTGGACAGTGGAAGTGCAGGCCAGCCTTCTGGTGGTGAGCCTGCTTCCCTCTGTCCAGACAGGGGTAGAATGCTGAAGACCTTCTGATCCCAGGCCCAGTCCTCAAGGCCTCATTTAAAATCAGCAAATTTCCTTCTTAATCTCTTCTGCAGCCACCACCAGCTTACTTTCCTCTTTGCTCAGCTCTCTATTCAGGAATGCATGGTCAGCTCAGTATTCTTTTTTGTTCTTTTTGCTATTTTCTTATCCCTCATTCACTATGAGGACAAAGCACTCAACATGTACTCCATCCATTCTACTCTTCTCTCCTCTCATATGATTAGGCAAAGCCTTGGTCTTTCCTGGAAGCCATGAGACCACAGGAAACTGCATTTATACTCAGAAGCCCTACACATACAGGACTGCCGGTGACAGTTTATCAAACTGAATGCACCATTTCAACAAAGGACTAAAAAACCATATACATGTGACATCTGTCTGAAAATTAACCTGCATCTGACTTATTTATTCTGTAAGTTTAGGACAGTCAGACAAGTCCATAAGCACTATATATTTATCATAGCTTATTTTAAGCATACTAATTAGATCACACAGGACAATATTGAATAAACACTAATCGTAGGTCATAATGTAGAATGTAAAGGCTGCTTTGGAAAATGATTTCAAATCATTTGCTTTCTTCAATGTGCTTTTCAAAATGAGCTTCATAATTTTTACTAATCCAATTTTTAAAATCCATTACGAAGTCACTCTTAAACCTTTTTTCAGGGACTATCTGGTTTGCCATTCTAGAAATGAAATTCCTTTTTCCACCTAAACAGATGGCTTTAATTTTTGGTGGGGTGGTATGAAAGGAATGTCACATGAGAAACTGCAAGCAGTTTAGCTTGCATTTTTTGTTGTTCATACATTGTTTCAAAATGTATTTTGCATCCTCTTTTAAGAGAGTTTCTGTCTCCATTCCATTGAGACTTTAGAACTAAATAAATGAAAATCAATCCCAGTATTTCTAAAAATGTGAAGTCCTAGCTTAACTAAAGTGCTCAGTTATTGAAAATCCAATAGAGTAATTCTACGAAGTAAAAAAAAGTGTCTCCAACGGGTTCCAAAGATAAATGCGTTTTCAACCTTGTTAAGCTGTGCAAACATAAATGTAGGTCCTCCCTCGACCCCCAGGGATCTCTATCCACTTACACCACAGTAACTTGAGCAGCCACTGCAAATGAGCCTCTCTTGACCCTTCGCCTACTTATTTCAGCTGCTGAAATAAGGCTAAAATCTGTCATGGACTCTGAAGGGAGGAAAAAGATTCTTACTGTCAATTTAATTTACCATTTAAAAAATTGCCTGCTTGCCATTTACAAAATTGCCTAATTGCCTGCTACATGCAAGACACTTACACTAGAAATTCTGAGAAATATTAAATCTTATTTCTTGCCTTTTATGGATTTATAACCTAATGATGAGAAGGTAAAAGGAGAGAAAGAAAAAGGAGTAAACACAAAATATATCATTTTTTAAGGTACAAATTTCCAATGATAAATGTCATTATATTGTATGCCTAAAATGTACCAATAAAAATTTTTTTTAAAATATATCAGGTAGTAAACTTAAATATAACAGAAACTAAAGAAAAATCCAGATTTGTAGAAATTCCTTTGGCAGTGTAGTGTAAATCAATTCTGTGCTCATATTTAATGTTTAAGACAATCTGATGAGACAACTTACCCATAAACAGCAAGGATTGTATGCTCTATGAGTTGTATATCTTATCTGTTATTTTGTCTCTTTTTGACTGAGATTATTCTTAATCTGAAATTCTAAAAGATGAGAAAATGAGCAAACAATATACTACCTAGGAAGACTGATGCTCTTTGACATCAAAATTCAGCATGAAGTTTACATAATATAAGTGTACTTAATACCCTGAACTATATATTTAAAAAATGGTTACAGTGATAAATTCTACATTATATGTATTTTAACACAATGAAAAATATCAGGAAAAAAATCATGATTTTTTTCCCTAGGGCAAAAGGAAAACTGCTTTAGAAAAATGAGAAAGTATAAAATGATAGAAAAAGTCCAAAACAGTGATTGATCTTGCCATTGTATGTTCTTGTTATAGATTCGCACATCAGTAATTACACTGTTACTTCCCAAAAGACCCTTCAGCTGGATAAGACACTTTGTGATTGCAGCCATGATTATTGCACTTAATAATGTTCTGGTCATCCTTGTGCCAACTATAAAATACATCTTTGGATTCATTGGTAAGTTTCAGAAGGGTTTTTATTTAGTCAACCGAAACTTACTTTTCCTTAAATGGTGGTCAGGGAGCCAGTGCTGGGCACTCGGGATCCCAAGTACATTACAGGCTCACGGGATTCCTGTTAGCCCTGCTGGGACCCAAGGGGTTGTGCTGGTCACTCTCCCTCCTTCCCAGGTGGCAGTGGGAACTGACTTCCAGCTGACTTCAGTCCAGCTGCCTTATCTGACAGATGAGGAAAGTGATCCTCAAAGAAGTGAAGTTATATACCTTGGCTGGGGGAGAGCAGGTCTGGACGTTGTTTCTAAGTCAGCCATCAGGGAAGAGTCAGAAAGACACATTCTACCCATCAGACACTCTCTCAAGTCTCTTGAGTATTGGCTGAACATTAAAAGACATTTTCAGACGCATGCCAGGTTAATTTTTAAAGCATATCATTTCCCTGAATTACTTGGCTCATTAATATCTTTAATTTCTCATTCTATTGATCAAAGATGTACTCAAATTTTTAAAACAACAAAAGGCTTTTTAAAGAATTTTGTATAGATATTTTGAAAAGTAAGAGGTGGAGAAGAAGGACATGGGATGAGTTCAGCCTTCTTAGGATGTACTTACATTACCAATCCTCTGTCAATTTGTATTATGTTTCAGCCTTTTATTACTTATTATATATTATACTTACATAGCTATAATGTTAGGAACATTTTTATTTTCTTTACAAACATACCTTGTATGAATAAGCAACCCAGATGAGCTGATGTGATTTAAAGTATGTGCTTTAGGGGCTAAGAAGACTAAAGTCACTTTTTATTTGGCTTCTCTGAAGTGTGATCTCTCAGGTATCTGCTTTTCCAGGAAGACCTGCCACATAGGAAATTCACTTGCCTGTTTCTCTCCTTAGGGGCTTCTTCTGCCACGATGCTGATTTTCATCCTTCCAGCAGCTTTTTACCTTAGACTTGTCAAGAAAGAACCTTTTAGGTCACCCCAAAAGGTCGGGGTAAGTAAAGCTTGCAATTTCTCCCATTACAACTTGCTCTTCAACTAAGCATAAGGCAGAAAATACATATGGTTCAGGAAATGAAGCAATGAAGAAAAACCAAACACCAAGCATGGGCTGGGACTCTCTAATAGGGGTTAAAAAAGAAGTGACTTTCTGGCACACAGATAATTCTAGGATTTCTTCTCTTCCAATAGCAAATATCTTATGTTGAGCCCTCCTACATGTCAGATGCTAATGGGGCGTTCCCAGGGGCACATGTGCTCTATATGCATACCAGCTTCCAGAGCCAAGCACTGGCTGTATTGCCCATGTGGAATTATCAGGAAGGAATTAGACTCCTTACCAGAGTTTGGGAAGAATGCAATGTTTTGGTCATGTTTGCTACAAAGTCAGGGTTGCTTTCATTTTCCCTCTGTTGTACCCTGCTATGCCCTAGTTTGGATTAAGATTAAAAAAAAAAAAAAGGAACATTTGTTCTTAAGGCAATTTTTTTAGGTATAAAATAACATCTTATTAAACTAGGAAGTGCATATTTCTTTTCCATAGTAGGACTACTGAAACATAGGTACCTGTTTTTTCAATAACTAAATATGATCAGTGATGATTTAAGATCTTACATTAAGATTTGAAAAGCACAGCTTCTTACTAAATTACTCTGAATTTTTGCCTTATTCATCTCTTGAGATTGTTTAGGGACTTCAGGAGAGTTTGGTATCAAAAGCTCTTCCTGTCATCTTGCTCCTGAATTTTCACTTCAAGTAGTCCATCTTGCCTTGATTTTCATAGCAGTGTGACTTGGGCAAGTTGCTTTTGCTCTGTGTGACCCATTTTTAGTTTGACTGGATATAAAATGAGCAAAATCATCTTCTCGACCAGTGGTGGCACATCTATGGCATGCATGTTGTTTGTTTTTCTTTTAAGAAAAAAATGTTAATGTATAAGTTGTTTTTCCTAAACTAAAACCTCAGTATTCAGGCTTAATTGCAGTGTTGGCACTTCGCAATAAATAAGTGGGTTTTGGGTTGTAGTTGGGGCACTCTTCTCTAAAAGGCTTGCCATCACTGTCCTAGGCCTCGCTAGTGAAAAATTTTAGCTGCTGTTTTCTTATATACACAATTAAAAAGTTGATCTGTGTGTATTATTAAGGCCTATTCTAGTGTGAAAATTCCAAAATATTTTGTGTTGTAACTATTCATACATACAAAGATGTATACTATACAGAGTCTGCCAAAAAATGTATGCACACTTCAGCAATTTGCTGAACTAATAAATATCTGGAAGCTAATGGACATCACTTTGAGCGCCTCTTTTTCTTTTTATTAATTTTATTGGTACATCTTAGGTATAACAATATAATGACATTCATCACTGGAAATTTGCACCTTTACATAATCCATCTTGGTTCTTATTTTTTTCCCCATCCCCTGCCCTCCCTTCAATGCCTCCATCCCTCCCTATTTACAAAGACTTTGTTTCCATTTTTTCATTTTCTCATATTAATTCTATTCCCTTCTTTCCTTTCCCCTACCCCTCCCACTTCCCCTTCCCCTTTGCCCCTTTTCTTCCTATTTCACATTATCTATTATACCTTTTAGTCCTTATTAACACTTTCAGTTTCTCACACTAGAGAGACTATTTGGTACTGAGCACCTCTTGTAATTGTAGAGGTCAAAGGTAACTTGTATAAACCTCATAATGTCTCAATAAATTTAGTATTAAAATATTTATACAAGTTTTTCTTTTCCTGATATATACATTTTTGCAGACTTAATAAATATATATGCATGCACAGTTTTTGTCTTGTTCAGAAGTATGCAATATATATTAGGTTCTTGTTTTTGTTTCCTTTATAAAATCAGAATCATATCATACATACTACTCTTTTATGATCAGCTCTTTTTCACCTAAAAAATTGTAAGCATTCCACTGGTCATTAAATCTTTTTCTGTCACTTAATTTTTAATGGTCATAAGATATGGCATCATTTTGATGTATCAAATCAACTAATCATTACTCTTTCTTAGAATTCTATGTTCTGTCTCTCCACTATATTTTTCTTCTCCCAAGTAGGATCTGAATTGATTGATTTGTTAGATATTTGAGTTATGAGCAATATTTTAATATAAATGCAAACTAGACTATCACCTTACATAAGCAACTTATAAAAGCAAACTGTGACAAGCATGGTTTCTGTCTTCCCTTACAAGTTCTCTCTAAATTACAGGCTGTAATTTTCCTTGTGATTGGAATTATCTTCATGATTGGAAGTATGGCACTCATTATAATTGACTGGATTTACAACCCTCCAAACTCCAAGCACCACTAACCTAAGAGAAAATACTTTCTTTTTCTACTGGAAATGGTTGCAAGTTGTGCTCCAAAAGACATTTGAGATATCTTGATTGGAATGTTATTCATAGGAAATAACAATGGGAAGATTCCAAAGATGTTCGCTAGTAACATCATCAGACACCTGCGAGAGAAAATTGTGGTTTTTGTGGAGAATGGCTACTGATGTTTTAAATCTGTGTTGAACATCTCTACCCAGGTTTTATTAGAACAGTATGAGATGATCAAGGTGTGTTTTTGCTGTTATACAAGCAGAATAAGGGTGGCTGCATGTAATAGTCATCAGATAATATTCTTTCCACCTGCCCACTCCCCACCCTGCATCCTCCATAAAGTTAGCAAATAGTTGTATTCTCAGAATATCAAACGAAAACACCCTGGTGGCAAAGCATCACCACCTAATGTCTACTCCCATCTTGCACTAAAGGCTTGGGGTCTGTTGGCTGACTAGAGCCAAAGGCATGTCCCGTGACCTGTCCCTGGGAGGCGTACAAATGATCAGACACCAGTCTAGAGCACTTATGTTAACATTAACAGAATATTTTGCCCAGACTATTGTGACATCAAATTAGTAACTGCTTCACTCAATAAAATTTTTGGTAAATGTTAAAACATCTTACTAAATATAGAGAGGGTCTTTATTTAAAGAGCAACAATAAAAATAATATTGCATACAGCTAAACTGCCCGCTGTGGAAACTTCTGCTTTTTAATGCTTTTCCTAGTCCATTGTCATTCTTTTGTCCTTGAACAATGCTCTCCCTCTCGTCTTCCATTCACATTCAGATCTTTTAGAAGACCACAGTTCATGAGGAGACACACTACCCAGTATTGTTGATACATGTTTAGTTGATAAATATTCAGTGCAGGAAACTGTGATTTGCTATATGTTTATGTGTATAATCTTATTCTATAGTCATCAGAATGTTAACATATGGTACATTTGATTTTTATTTTTTACGCATGTAGCTTTCTTTCTCACAGTCAAAACATTTATATTATTGGGGTCAGGAAATTAAGCTGGTGGTCTCAAAAATCCATTTGTATCTATCTGTCCATTGGAGTTATTTTAAATTAGAAACCTAAGTTATATAGTTTGGTAATGCTCTTCCTCAATGTTTACAATAATAGAATCATGTATAAGAAAATGAATTTTTTATTTGCAAATAACAGAGCTAAGGTTGCTCTTTTAATTTAGTATATCTAAAATAAGATTTAATTCATTTTAACTTGCACAGCTGTTTGCTAACACTATTTGTCATTTAGTACAATGTTGAATAGTTGTCCATATAAATATAAGTGGTAACACTACAAAGAAATGGAAACTAGCATTCTTACTTCCATAATGTACTTACATGGAATAGATTTAAAAGTTTCTATTCACTACCTAGAATTTCTGGAGCTCACTACTGTATTTTCAAATCACTAACAAGAATATTTGCTGTATATTTTATATTTTAGTAAAGCTAAGTATGAAATATAAATATCATATAAATATAATCAGACTAAATCGTATTTCAATAGTTTTTCTGAAGTGAGACTAAGAAAACATTTGTTTTACGTATCATTTTCTAGAGATGCATAATAGTAAAATGGTGCACTTTGTTACAGAAATTGAGCATTACTAGAAACTATCATAACTTTTAAGTTACTATCATTTAGAAAAACTATGCTGAACATCATCTTCAAGATATATTTCCAATTTCATTTGTCTAAAGATTGCTTCAAATTAGAAAATGGAAAAAAGTGTGTTCTGCATGTTAAAAAAATTGAGTCTGAAGGTATTTAAATGTAAATGTTAAAGATTAATCCAAAAATATTAGAAAACTGTAAAACTTGTACTTATTTTGAAAGTTTTACATTTAAAATAATTAACTTGAAAAAATCACCATGTATAATTATTTAAATATTCAAGAGAAATACTACAGTGCCAAATCCTAAAGCACCAGTTCCCCTCGTGGCTACCTTCAAGATTAGAGGTCATATAGACTGCAGGGCAGACATATATACAGTATCCTGTGCTGGTTAATTTGACCCCATTTGTAAACAGATGAATTTATATTTTCTTATTTCATTTACATGATGGTTCAATGTATTGGGAGGATTTTTTATTACAGAAAGTGTATATTGGTATATAATAAATGAACTTTTTAAATGACCATGATATGATTTTCTTTCTATTGTTAAAGAAGGCTGTGAGTTATTTGTACATGAAACAGAATTTGAAATCTCATTATTGCTTTTCTTATACTGGTATAGGCTGTACTGTCATTTTACATATGCACAAGAACATGATCTCCCCACCATTTACACACATGTGGTTTTACTCACCATGTACATTCCTGGTGTTATTCCTACCTACCGCTGCTGTAACAAATTGCCACAGACTTAATAATGTAAAAGAATGCAATTTATTACTTTACAATTGTGACAGTCAGAAGTCCCAAAATCAAGGTGTTGGTTGCACTGCCTTCCTTCTGGAAGCTCTGAGGAAGGATCTATTTCCATATCTTTTCCAGCTTCCAGAAGCCACCTAAATTCCTACAGGATCTTCAAATTTGTCTCTTCTCACTCTGTCTCTCCCGCTCTCCCTCTCCCTCCCTCCCTCATTGTATTTCTATCATCACATTCCTTCTCTAACTCTAACAGACTCTCCTGCCTTCCTCGTTTCCATTTAAGGATTCTTTTGATTACATGGAGCTCACCCATATAATACATACTAATCTCCCCTTATAAAGATCTTTAATCACATCTATGAAGTCCCTTTTGCCATATAAGTTTACATATTTACAGTCCCAAGGATTGTGACATCAACACCTTTGGGAGGCTATTATTCTGTCTATAACAGGACCACATGCCCACATCTAAGCCACGGCACAGGCACACCCTCCACCATACACTTGTTCCCAGTCATCCACATCCACACCACAGGCATATGTGTATGACGCCAGAGGCAGTGAGACATCACTGAAGGATATTGATGAGGAGATCAAAAAACAGAGATACATTTTAGAAACACAATGTTAGTTACTTACTAGAGAATGGAAAGGCAAGGCACTAAGGTAGAAGGAAAAGAAAAGCCACTTAAAACTGAAGGGCAAGTAGTGGGTCATTAACCACATAAAGAGCAATTATTCTCCTTGATACCTTATTCTGTTTTAAACTAAAAAACTTTTCTAGAGATATAGATTTCTCTAGGTTGTTTATATTTGGTACAACTTTTTAAAATATTTATTAAAGAAAAATTAAATTGGAGAAAAAACACAGACTAATTTAATAATATATATGTTCTAAGCACTTTTTTCATATTTTAACAACTTAGAAATCAGGAAGCATCTTACAGTGACTTTTGGCAAGTGATACTTATGATATGGTCATCATAATTGGTTCCAAATTGTGTATCAAAACTTGTAGAATGGATATCAGAAGAAAATACAATGCTAACAGTGGCGACTTTCATTAAGCACTTCTTCATCACCAAGAGTCCATGGCACTGGTGACAAATCTATGGCATCTGTGCTATAGCTGGCTCTTTGTTATCATTGAAAGCTCTGAAAGGTTCACCATCAATAGTTTAAGGCATCCCAACACTCAGGAGGCTGAAACAGGAGGATAACTACAAATTTGAGGCCAGCTTGGGCTACAGAGTAAGTGTAAAGCCAAATTAGGCTATAAATAAAGAAGAAAAAGTCTCGTGTGTCTTATTTACTTCCCTGTTGCTGAGATAAAAAACCCAACACCCACAAGTTAAAGGAAGAAAGGTTTATTTTAGCTCATGGTTTGTAGAGGTTTCAGTCTGTATTTAGCTGATTCCAAGGTAGGGTGGCATGGCAGAGGAGAAACAGTCCATGGCAGGGTAGAAGGAGGCAGCAGCCAAGGTTGGTGACTTGAACACCCACCCCTCAGAACTTGATAGAACTACTAAACAGAAAATCAGCAAAGATACAAACAAAATAATCAACCAACAAGTTCTAATGGATTTGTATAGAACGAAATTCCACTGCCAACAGCAGAAAACACTGCTTTCTGAAGATTTCATGGAAATAAATTATAGCCTGGGAAATAATACAAACTTAAACAAATTTAAAAGAACTGAAATCATACAGGGTGTTTTTTCTGACTCTAATGGAATCAATTAGAAATCAATCAACAGAAAAGCAATAGAAAAATTTCTAAACATGTGGAAATTAACACATTTAAATGATTCATGGGTCAAAGAAGAAGTATCAAAGCAAATTTTAAAATATATAGAATTCAGTGAAATCTTGAAAATATCACAATATGTGGGGTGCATTTAATCCAGTAGAGAGAAGAAAATTTATAGCACTAAGTGATTACATTAGATGTGAAAAAAAGCTAAAGTCAGTAATCAAAATTTCTGCATCAAGAAGCTAGTAAAAGAAGAGCAAGACAAGCCCAATGAAAATAAAAGGAAGAAAGCTAATAAAGATAAGATCTGGTATCAGTAAGACTAAAAATAGGAAAATAGAGCAAATCAGTGAAACAAAAGCTGATTCTTTAAAAAATCAATAATATTGATAAAGCTCTAGCAAGACTGACAATAATAAAAAAAGGAAGCACTGTGTCAATTAAATTCACAGCAGTTCTAGTTGTAAATAAAACAATGATGCATCTTAAAATTTTAAAAACTATTGAGGGCTGGGGATTTAGCTCAGTGGTTTTGTCGCCTGCTGCACAAGTGCAAGGATCTGAGTTCGATCCCCGGTACCCCCCCACAAATAAATTAAAAACTATTGAATTTATTAAGATATGGTTTTTATTTTTTAAAACCTCATTAATATTATGTGGTTAAAGTGATATGGGTCCCACTTTCTAGAGTTTTACCATGGATGGTTGCTATCACTAGGATTTTCACCCTTCTAGACTCTGTAAAGTCCAAGGTGCCAGCAGATCTTGCTGCTGGGGAAGGCCTCCCTTAGGCTTGCATATTTCTACCTCACTGTGCCTTCATACTGTGAAGAGAGAATGCTGGTCTCTTCCTCTCCCAGAAGGACACTAAAGTCATCATGGGAGCCCCACCTTCATGATCTCCTCTAAACACAGTAACTTTCCAAAGGTAGTATGTTTGTGTTTGGAGATGGGATTGAGGGGGTCAGGCCAGACCAAAGAAAAGTTAGAGAGGGTTATCAAATAAAAATGAACTCACTTATATCTACATTTTAAAGCATTCAAATTTTTGCTAATTGATTAGTGTGGTAGATTCATAGAAAAATTACCTTATATTCATTTTACTAAAGGGAAACTGAAGCCCCAGAAATGAAGAAGTATAAAATTGATCTTCACATTGAAGTTGGTGTTCCTGGCTTCTGTAAGTCCCAAGCCTAGCTCAGACAGTGTATTGCTTTAGCTACAAATATCCCAGACAACTTTCTTCACTCTTAGTTTGATATTAAATGTAAATATCACCAATCTGGAGTTTTCCCACCAGCCCTATGGATGGAGAGTGAAAGCAAGATAAAAACCCTTGTTCAGCCTAACTCAAACTCCCCTGCACAGAGTCATAAAGCATTTTATCAGGGTCATTTAGACTACTTGAGATTATTTTATGGCCTGATATTGTTATCTCAAAAGCAACCTTTACTGTTCTTTTTGAAGTGATGGGTATGTTTCTTCTATGTTAGCCAGCATTTTCACTTAAACTTTTGGAAAATTTCCAAGTTTTGCTTGGTGAGTAAGAGGTTGTCTAAACCTGGTCTGCAGCCCAAACTGGTTCCAAGATGGATAATCAGCAATTCTTTCAGCCTGTGCAAAATCAACAATTTAAAGACACTCCCTCCCCCTAAAAAAATAGTTGTCATTTTGCCTTTCTCTTCCTAAAGTTACAAATCTTGGTTAATCATTGGTGGGCTGCTGGGAGGGGATAGCTGCTGCTAAGATGATAGAATTGTTCATCTTTCTGTGTAGAAAAAATGAAAACAGCTATTTTATTAAATAATTACCTATAATGAGTGCTTATCGTTTGGACCATTTTCTATTTGATAATTTTATGAAATGAAACACTATTTATTAGAACTTCACATAAGTATTTCAACTACTTGTTTAGAATCAGGGGTTGACCAAATCATTTTTACTTCTGATTTCAGCTCTACTGATGCGAAAGTAGAAAAGTCCTGGATTACAGCTCCAGATGCTGAATGCTCCTTAGAGTGAGGCCTGGTGGTTGCCTGGTGACCCTGGGGCAAGTGCCTCATCAAAGCCCTACCTTTAGGAGATAGGCACTGGACTGATCCTTTCTAGGACCCTGAGTTGGTGAAGGAGCCTCCAGCTAGAGAAAATTCACCAAGTGGAAGTTGTAAAGCAACTCTGTTCCTACAATATTTTTTTTAATTTCCCTGAAAGGCATATTGACCCATTTTGGCAGAATCTTGTACTAAAGTAGAGACTAACATAGAGGATCAGGACATGGCCTACTGATCTATACAACATTTCACATTCCAGACTCATGTTTCTCTTACCAGTAAAATATACACACATGCACGTGCATGCACACACACACGCACTGTTATGAACTGCATGTTTGTGTTTGTCCCATATTCATATGTGGGTGCCCTAACCATCAATATGATAGTATTTATGATGGCATTTGGAAGCTGGGGCCTTTGGAAAGTGATTATGTTTAGAGGAGATCATGAGGGTGAGGCTCCCATGATAAGATTATTGTCCTTGTAGGAGAGGAAGAGACCAGAGCTTGCTTTCCACAATATGAAGACACAGTGAGGTAGAAATACGCAAGCCTAAGGGAGGCCCTCACCAGACACAAAATCTGCTGGCACCTTTGACTTCCTAGACTCCAAAATGGTAAAAATAGAATGTTGTTTAAGCCACTCAGTCTATGGTTATTCTCTTAAAACAGCCCATGCCAACTAAGACACAAGTACACTCACATACCCACATCAAAGACCCAGGTACCTCAATGCCATATACACATGTGCATATGGACACATATATATGTGTATAGACATGCACACCACACAAACACACAACTGTTCTGTAAATTTCCTGGAGTAATGAAAAAGAAACATTTGCCTTCAAACTGAGAGGGTACAATAATCCAAAGAATGACTCGGACGACTCCAGATGCTGGGTGAGTTTATAGGGGTTTCTTGAAGACCAGGGGACAGCCTGGGGCTGCAGCACT